GCACACATACACACGTATACTGTAATTGTTTCTCCAGGACACGTGGCTCGTAAGGAGGAGTCCAGGGCCAAATGCATATTTTCCAAGGATAGGGTTTGTGCTGCATATTTTCTGTTTGCCCCTCACATTCACTCTGGTCTCTTCTCCAGGAAATGCTCTTACACAGACTGCACTGTCAGGGCTCCCATGTCCCTGACTTCTGGTAGGCGATCAGAGATTTGGAGAACTTTGGGATATTTATTCCCTGTGCTTCTCTCCCTGTGGCCGTAGCTTCTTTTGCGGGTCTCTGTCACAGATGGGCCCCGCCTGGGCTAGGGGTGGTAAGAGCTTCCTTCTGGTCAGACGTGGAGAGCCTTATTACCTATTGTCGTTTTTTCCTTAACGCTAACCTTGTGTGTGTTTGTTAACAGTCCCTTCTTTAATATTCTCTTGATTAATAGTCTCTTCAGTTACCTCTTTGACTGTCATCCATCCATTTTCTCCCAGGACCCCTGACAAAGAGTTATTTCCTGGCTATGACTTCAGCTTGTGCATATATTAATTTATATTTGCTATGCATATAAATTCTGAGGATATATTTGCATAGGTTTGATGCCTGAAGTCTAAGGACTAAGACTTGTAAATGTTCTCAGGCAGGAAGAACAATCAATGCATCCACAAATGGTATTTATACTTCTAATCTCAAAACTAATTGCTGGGACTGCTGAGTGGCTCGTTGGTTAAGAGTTGGCTTGAGACGTGAGTTCTGAGCAGCAGGGCCGCAGGTTTGGATCCCACATGGGCCAGTGAGACTGCGCCCTCTACAGCTAAGATGGTGAACAACAGCTCGACCTGAAGCTGGGCTGCCGTGAGTCACCAGCGGTGGCGTAGGCTGCAGCAGGGCTGGCTGGCAGCAGGCATGTGCTTTCGTCAGCTGCCGTGAGCCGCCATGAGAGGCCGTCCAGTGGCCAGCGAGCAACTGCCTTACCTGGGAAGAGCGCAATGATAATACCAACATGGGCCAGTGAAGCGACGTCCTCCACAACTAGACTGAAGAACAAAAGGACAGCAACTTGTCTGTTCCCCTTCCCCGATTCCTGAACCCTGTTTCCTCCCCCAATTCCCCAATAAAATCTTTTAAAAAAAAACTAATTGGTAATTATTAACTTACACCTTTTAGCTTCACTGGACATTTTAAAATAAGAAAATATTGGCTACATTTAGCTTTCTAATATAAATAGACAATATTCAAACATTTGTGAAATATAGTTACATTTTCACTATTTTCTGTTAATTATTAACTATGGGGCAAAATATTAAATCCAATACAATGCAAATTTGGCAGCTAATCTTTACTAGTACAAGTGTTTTTCAGTGTTTAGTCTTTGCCTATGATGTATATAGTTATATGCCACATGGAAGGGAAAAAAATAAATGGCCAATAAATATTTTAATTTATTGGAATGCCATTTTTGTTCTAACTGCCTGTTGGCTTAACCCCCCTAAAACTAGTTTATTGCTAGAACAAAAAACATTTACTTAGCACTTGTTATGTATCAGCATTGTGTTTAATGATGTGGGATAATCAGAAAATTCATGGGGAATCACATTATGGATTCTAGAAGACTCCTTGACAATGTCACATGCTCATTAAGCATCAGTTGGTAAGAATCAAAATGAAAACCCAGGTCTCATGGCTCTGGTTTAGACTTCCCTTCCATAAAACTGCCCCACAGCAGGTCCTCAGCACCTGGCCAACCAGCCATTAGAAGGCTGAGAAAAACAGACTTCATAGATCCCGAAAAAATTGTTCATATTTACTCTGGTAAGTGGTAACATTGCAGGCTTCAGAGCTCTTTAAAATAAGTTAGGAATAGTCAATAAGTAAAAGTTCATATAATATTTTACATTTGTATCTGCTACCCATTCAGTCCTCATAGTGTGGGGTAGTAAAGCCCTAAAGATGCATGCTAGACCCTCCATATTCAATTACTTTCTGAAAATAAATATATGTTAAAGAGTTACAAGGCATATGAAGAAGTTGTATCATAGAACCTCAATCCCAATTCCTTCCAAAAACAAAACCTAGTTTTGGCATTGTTTGTAGCAGGTTCCTAGGCTCTTGCGTGTGTGTTTGGGGGTGAGGGTGGGGGCGGGTGTCAAGGGAGGAGGGGGATGGAGTTTTAAAACAGTGGATTGGACTGGTCCATTGAGAGATCCCTTGATAGATATGCCAAATGAAAGCTATAAGGAGGGGTGACTATTGACAAATCTTTGACTCAGTTAAATAAGAGCCTAGCGTACTTAAAGTTTCCATGATTATTTATAAAACTTCATAAAATGCAGTTGCAGCTTTTTTTAAAGGTATTAATGGAGTTTATTTTTAATTTTTGGCTGTAATCAAGGGAAATGGGAATGATTTTAGATGTTAGGGGACATGTAATTACCAAGTTTTTGTTTGTTTAGTCATTAAAAGTAACCTATAAACCTGTAATAATATAATGAAAAGTCTATCTCACAAAGAGTAAAAATTACTTTCATCAATAATCAGTATCATTGCTCAAACACAGTCTCAGGGGCTGATGTGGAAATCTGGCATAGTCTTTGCAATTCCTATATTGGATTCCTTCAACTATTATACATGGCATAGGCTCCTGCACCTGAGCTAAACCAAAAAAGTGACATAAAATTGTTTACTCTTTTGACATATTTGCTGACTACTTCCTCAAAACCATTGAGTTACTACCTTGGTGAAACACTTAATATGTCTCATTTCTTCAAGGTCAGCTCTGTCTGGGCTTCAAATCGGTGCTTTGCTTCCTGGCAGCAAAAATAAAGGGAAATCAGAGTAAACTACACTGTTCTCATATTATACAAGGGAAGGCTACAAATTAGCTCTTCAGGAGACACAAAATTTTTCCTAATAATAAATTCTGAAAAATGTTGAGTGAAAAAAAAAAAAGAACACGTATTTCCTTCCTGCAAATGTAATGTACAAAAATAAGTCTAGTGAAAACAAAAAAGAATGCTTATTTTCTTACTGTAAATGTAAAGGATTATATAAACATTTCAACACTTTTTAAGTCGTGATTCTTAAGAAAAGAAATTACCTTCAGGACTCTTCATTTGTCACTTCCAGAAACAAACAGTTTGACTATTTCTTTTATTAAGATGTATTAGAACATCATTAATAAAGAAGCCTTACAAATAGGCTATCATTTTTGAGAAAGATCACACTGTGTTAAATAATGAGATATGGGAATACATTGAACAGCTTGACTTCTGCTGACTTTTACTTAAGAGTGTGAAATGTTTTAAATTAGACTATGTTAGTATTGATAAAATGTGCTTGGGGGGAAATAATTTAAAGGCTTTGTTCCATTTTGAGAGCTAGATAAACTGTATAATTTAAAAATAAAGCACTGTGATGGCAGTAAGGAAACAACTCTCATATGCTGTTGGAGGTAGTGGAAATTGGGGCAAACTTTTTAAAAGCCAATTCAGTAATGCCTATCAAGCTTACGATGTATTTACCCATTGACCTGTCAGTTATGCATACAGATTAGAATTCTCACTAGATAAACTTGTAAAAGTAGCCCAAAAAAGGGTGGAAGAGCATACATTGCAGTGTTTCTAAAATAGCAAAAAATAGAGTAACAATAAGGGAATGGTTAAATTAAATGTGTATTTACTTAATGAAATGCTCTAAGCCAATAAGAAGTATAAGGTAATTCTGTATGTGCTGCTATGGAAAGGACCCCAGGCAGGATGGATTACTAGGTAAATAAGCCAGATATAGAACATTATAATGCCTCTTTTGGATAACTTAAAAAGCAGAAATACAGATGCTCCTTGACTTAGGATGGGGTTACTTCCTGATAAACCCATTGTAAGTTGAAAATATCCTAAGTTGAAAATACATTTAATACATCTAACCTACTGAACATCATAGCTTAGCCTACCCCCACCTTAAACATGCTCAGAACAATACATTAGCCTACAGTTGGCCAAAATCATCCAACAAGATGAATACACTGTAGAGCATCAGTTGCTTTGTTACCTTCGTGATCACGTGGCCAATTGGGAGCTATAGCTAGCTGCCACTGCCCCGCATTGGCAAGGGAATATCTACTGCATGTCAAAATTCAAAATTCGAAGTATAGTTTCTACTGAATGCGTATTGTTTTTGCACCATTGTAAAGTAAAACCAAATCGTAAGTCAAGCCATTGGAAGTTGAGGACCATCTGTATCTACATATATAGGTTATGTAGATATATTGATATTTATATCAATTTATATATTGAAGAATCATATGCATCTTACCGTTTGTCTGCTTATCTGGATTTTGAAAGTGAATACATAAACTTTGGTTTTGGAATTGCCAGATGCTTTTTCTTTTCATTTGACAGTTTTCTGAACAATTTGATTCATTTAACCATATACATACTTGTACATCTATTTTTTAAAAACCTCCATATAAATGCCTGAAGTACATCATTGTTCTTGGTCTTTACTTTTATATTTTTCCAAAACCCAATAATTAATATTTTATAAAATAATAAAGCAGTGTTGTTAGGTCATGAAACATGACAAACTCTAGCATGGAAAGGACTGTATTGTCAGGAAATCCACTGAAGTTGTTTGTGTAATATTCTCATCGCAAACAACCTTCGGTCCTGCAGCCCCTTTCTCATAGTAAGAAAGGTCTATCAGCTGTGTGGAGGATGCATCCGCTGGGTGCGGGACAGGTGGAGACATCAGAGCTACGTCCCCTTCTGAGCAAGGAAATTTGAAACCAGTTTTTACGATTATTTTCCTAGTCTGTGGTAGGAGAACATACCACACCACAAAGACCTCCCTAAGCGTGCACCCACACTTAATGGATCGAACTTTGAGTCAGAATGGGGAGAAAATTTGTTGTCTATTTCCCGTGGACCCTGTAGTTCAACACGGTGACTCTATGTTGGAAGCAATTCCAAAAGGAAACAATAGAATGACTGTCTTTTGCTCTTGTGAATCTTTTCAGAATTGCGACCTATGGTGAGCCCCTCAGTGTGTCTGGACCGGAGCACACAATTCCAGCAGAGTACTTTCGGTCACCTTTCAAAAACAACGAAGCCACATATGTGGAAGCCACGGGCCTGGAGACATGAACAGCTGTGAGCTCATAATTTTGAGTTGTTATATCCAGCAGGCATTTTAGGAGACAGCTCACAAGAGAAAAGCACTGAACAGATCTGAGGGTTTTGCAAGTTTGACTGATTAGATCTGTTACATAAATTCTCAGCTATCTTTTCTTAATAAAAAGTGTCATCATTGATTTTCTTCTAGGCTAATTCAAACCTCTCTTGCCATGGAATAAACATTTGGGTAAATAGCACTCTTATCTAGGAAGTTACATGAATGGAAATTGAATTTAAAACCTTGACGTTATGAAACTATAACATTTTAACTTCCATTTTATATTTAAATGACATTGCCTTAGTCTATGAGCATGGCTAAATGGCTTTGTTTTCTGGTTTTTTGTTTGTTTATTTGTTTATGGCTCTTGGGATCCTAGAAAGCAACTGCAAGGCACCACATTACCTCTAGGGAAATGACTTTGTAATATGGATAAGTTAAGAAATTTTAGTTACCTTATTCAAGACACAAGAGTTTTCCTCCTCTGATTTCATAATTATTAGGTAGTATTTTCACAGTTAATAGTATTTATTGAAGAATCCTAGGGCCAGCCGAGTGGCGTGCTGGTTAAGAGTTGGCTTGGGACACCAGCTCTGAGCAGCAGGGCCCGGTTCAGATCCCACATGAGGGCCAGTGATGCTGCGCCCTCTACAGCTAACATGGTGAACAACAGCTTGACCTGGAGCTGGACTGCTGTGAGCCACGGTGACAGCGTAGGCATCAGTGGGGTGTCAGTGGGCTGCCATAAGCTACTGTGAGCAGCCAGCAGCCAGTGTGAGTGGCCGTGAGTGGCCATCTAGTGGCCGGTGACCAATTTGCCTCACCCAGGAAGAGCGCAATGATAATACCAACATGGGCCAGTGAAGCGACGTCCTCCACAACTAGACTGAAGAATGAAGGACAGCAACTTGTCTGTTCCCCTCCCCCAATTCCCCAATAAAATCTTAAAAAAAAAAAGAATCCTTTACATCTTCTGTTTACATAGATTTCAGAAGTTGAAATACCACAATATTCTCATTGATCAAACTTAGACGTCTGAGTTATAAAAACATGGCACAGAAAAGCAAATAGTTATACATTTTGGTATCGTTTATGATTAAACTACGTTTTATCACAAAACATTAAACTAGCATTATTTTTCCTTTGTATTTTCCTAATATTTCATCCCTTAAATTTACTCCTCATTATTTCTCTTGAGGGTTATTGGTAGAATCAAACTATTGGGGAAAGTATTTTGGTATATTTTTGGTGACCTGTCCAATACTGAAAAACTTAATAACTTTTCTTGTCAAAGAAAAGATAGAGTAAAGGCAAGCAAAGGTAGAACCAGAAAATTCCAGGTGTTTCACTGTTCCCTAAACTGTAATTTGTATCATTTTTGTTATAATAGAACCATATGTGACTAGTTAAGTTTTTTGCCATTTAAACCTTATTTTATTATAGGTACTATTTTCCTACTTTTCTTTCTTTTGAAAAATACTTTAATTGAATCTGCCAGAGAAGAGAACTCTTATCAATTTGATCCCTTTTCTCTACACCTGTATATCTCCTGGTAGTGATGCTAGTAAGAAGTGAAAAATTTTAAGGAAACCCACACCCTGAAGGCCGGGGTCCAACCAAGGATAGACAAGTATACAAAGCTTTGAGGTAATTTACAAATTACATACATGCTCACCTTATATTATGGGGCATTTACTATGTTGTTTTATTTTTTAGGAATCAAACAACAGTCATTGCTCCACATGAAACTATCTTTAGAGCCGAAGACCTATCTGTGATTCTTAAAGCATATGTGTTGGTGACGTCCTTAACCCCTTTGCGTGCATTCATTCACTCAACTGGCACAGTTTGGAATCCACCAAAGAAAAAACGCTTCACTGTTAAGGTAAAATTTCCATCGAAGCTGTTATTTCACCCAAAGTACATTGAAGATAAGTGAAGTGAATGGGGCTGCCATTTTCCAACCTTTGTGATTATCAAATTCCATTGAACAAAAATTGCATCATTTTCTTGCTGCAAGCAGAGATTTTCATTTAATAGGTGTAGGTTCAAAAATGGACTGGAAATAACTTAATTCACAAGGGATCACAAAGGCGACATCTTTTTTTCTCAATTCATCATTTTAGTTCAATTATTTGACCCATTACAAAGCTAGTTCTCAGCTGTGTTCTGTTTCCCTTGATTTTCCCGCTTTCAAGAAAAATACAGTCAAGGCAACAAATGAAAATATAATAATTTTACCTTTATGGTTCTGCTTCATTCTTAGTAAACAAAATGGCTATTTCATTACAACAGTAAAATATTGAATATTGGCTGAGTGAAAGCACTCATATATGGTATATAGTACTAAACCCTGACATAAAGGATGATGAGAAAGTTTTCAGGGAAGAACTTAATACAATAATAACACCAGGAAGTTTAGTGATCAAAGATAATTCAGGTTAACTCAGTTAAAAATAAGGTCTAGCGACAAAGTATTTGATAAATTTTAAGGAGTTTCCGATTCTACAGAAATACGCACAATTGTTTAGAGGACAAATGAGAGGTGATTTCTCTGGTCACAATTTTATCCCCTAAACTCTTAGGAAGAAGAGGCTTGGGAGGAGGCACTTTCCTCCATTATAATCCATCAAACTTGGGGTTTAAGAAAGAATAGCGTGGAGGAATGAATGCCAAATGTGACCTAGGTAGGATGACTTTACATCCCTAAGAGGAAAGGGGCAGGCAATGATTGTCCTGGGGGGTCATGGGGAGAGGCAGAAGGAAAACAAAGCCGTTTTCCTCAGCTTGTCCTTAAAGAAGCCTCCAGCAACCACCCTTCCCAAACCCCAGCCATCCCTGTTCATGGCCACCACTGGCCACACCTGTTCAAAACAGCTTTCAGAATCCCATGTTCTTCTGTGAAATTCATGCATCGATGTCATTTCCAATGAACCCATGCTTGTTCATTCACCATCTTGATAGGAGACTGAAGCTTCTAGATAGATATTCCAAGTAGTTTTTTAAAGTTTTTTTTTTCTTTTCCTTTTAAACACCACTTCCCCCAACCACAGTAGAAATGACTGGTAGAAATGATACGCATTTTTGTGATAGATTTTATGTATGTCCAAAAGTTGTCATAAGAAAAAAAGGTCTTTGAGAGTTGATTTTCTTTATGTTTCCATGCTTTATCCACTATTTTGTTTCCTATTCGTATCTTTCCTGTGTGTGTGGGACAGATGCAAGCTGCAGTTGTACTTAGTACAGTTGAGGCAAGCAGGCGGCTCTTGGCATTTTCATCCTCTCCTTAGATTTGTTTTCTCAAGATATTGTCTGATGATTCTGGACAGTACCGTTACCTGCTCTCAGAAGGAGGCAGTGCACCTTCCTGGGTTAAATGTGTCAAAGAGGGATTGTTTCCTTCCAAGGTCAGAGTTACACTTGATGCTGCAGATAGATTTCAGAAAGCCAGAGAATATTTATTTACCCTTCAACTGAACGACTTATTGCTTCAGCTGAAACACATTGGTGATACTTATCTGTTAAATCACCACCACCCTCCAAAACACTGCTTCCTCCTGCTAGTTTAAGATGTGAAAAAATGCCCAGAAGCACTTCTCAATTCAAATGTGGAAGATAGGACCAAAACCCACCTGAAAGACTAATCAAAGTTTTATGAAATAGTGTTCTTAAATTCCACAAAACATAATGTGCGTGTGTATGTGTACCATGTCCTGAGTTCAAAGGCTAATTATTTAGTTAAATCTGTAGTAATTTATGCACTGTGTAGTGAGGCCAACCGCTAATCTGATTACCAGTGGCCATTTATAGAATATTCTGGCAGCTAAAGGAGGTCTGAAAATAATCATAGATATAAGTATGAGCTCACTGATTTCCAGTTAGGTCTGCTGCTGAGATGCTTTATCTGCTAAAGCTTTGCAGAGAGTTGAAACATATCAAGAAAAGGAAATTTGAGAAATAATGGAAAGTAGAAGCTTAGTAAATTAAATATTTTTAAAATTTCTTTTTATACATTAAAATAATTTAAAATTTGTATTAGATATTTCCAAAGGATATCCAAATTTAAAAGGGGAATGGAGATGGAAAAAGAGAAAAAAAATTAACAGCAAATGCAGCATTTGCTTACTATATCTTTTGATCTAAATTTTTTAAAGATAGATACCCTTCACTCTTCATTTTTGTTCTTTACCCAAATGGTAGTAAACTATATACACTGACCTGTGTCTTGCTTTTATCACTTACAATATACCTTAGGAATTTTTTCATATTATTTTATCTTATATTCAATTTATTTAAACAAACAAAAAAATTTTTTACCCATTTTTCCCACCCCACCCCCCACCACCTGCCTCTGGAAACTACCAGTGTGTTTTCTGTCTATGAGCTTGTTTCTGTCTATCTATCTATCTATCATTTTTAGATGCCACATATAAGAGAAATATATGGTATTTGTCTTTCTCTGTCTTATTTCAATTAGCAAATGCCCTCGAGACCCATCATGTTTTTGCAAATAACAAGATTTCATTCTTTATTTTTAAAGGCTGAAAAATATTCTACTTTATATATGCTTATATATCACAATTTCTTTATCCATTCATCCATCGATGGACACTTCAGTTGTTTTCATATCTTGGCTATTATAAATAATGCTGCAATGAACATAGGGTGCATGTATCTTTTTGAGTTAGTGTTTTTTCAGATAACTACCTAAGAGTGTAATTCCTGGATCATATGGTAGTTCTATTTTTTATTTTTTGAGAACCCTCCATACTGTTTTCCATAATGGCTTCACCAATTTACATTCCCACTAACAGTGCACAGGGGTTCCCTTTTCTCTACATCCCCTCCAATCCTTGTTATTTCTTGTCCTTTTGTTCATAGCTATTCTAACAGGTGCAAAGTGGTATCTCATTGTGGTTTGATTTGCATTTCCCAATGATTAATGATGTAGAGCATCTATTTATGTATGATTTCATGCACAACCATTTTTGCTGCTAAGACAATGTCATTTTCTTGGTAAATATAATAAATCCAATTTTAAGTGATGTTTAATGCAAACATTTCTTCCCCGGAAAAGCTCTCAATTCAATTATAAAATACTCCAGTGATATCTACGAATTCAAGTGTAGAACTCTTCCACAACCTTTCTAACTATGACTTCCGGTCAAATTCATCCATGACTGCTGTTATACATGGGTAACATAGATTACCTGGAGGAAAAGTCATTAATTCAGATTAGGCTCTTAGAGAGAAAAGTCACAAGGTATGTCTTCATCTATCAAGAAGTTATCTGGCAGAGAGGAAACTCTCATATCTTAACTTCTTTATGATACCTGGAGGTTCTTTATACCTGTGATCATAGCTGACCGCTTTGATGAAAATGGATTACTGGAGTGACTTGTGACTTCTGGAAAAAAGATCTGTGAAAAGCTTGATTTTGTCTAGTTGAGACATACCTTAAATGAATTCATTGTTTGATAAGCCCTCCCACATTTAAAGATGTTTATTTGTTGACATTCAGTATTCAATAGTTATATGAAGATGATTCTTTGAATGTAATCAGCTCTCAGTAAATGTATTTTGGATTGAATTCATCTGAGGTCATTAAAAAATTTTAACTGTGTGAAGAAATTGCCCAAGTCTATTTAATTGCTAACTGTTCCAATTCAGCCTCTGTATTTTCCAGTGGTCTGCTAGTGGCTTTCCAGTAAATGCATTAGACAGACATCATAATCTGAATTTCTGGCCATGGCCACTTGGAGAGAAAGGGGAAAATGGGGGACATTACAGCCTTTTCTCAAGTTGGTATCTGTGAGAATCATCTCTAATGAGAACCCAAGTTAGAGCCAGCTCCCGCCTGGTCTGCGGCTCTGAATCACCAGCTCTCGGCCACCACTTATTGGCCATTGGGGAACCATTCTTGCATTCCCAGTGCCTGCAGCTCCCTCTCCCATCGATGTGATCAACAAATGCACAGAGAGTGAACCTTGGCAAAGTAGGGAACGTTATTTACAAGGACACTTTTTAAAGAACGCATCTATCTCTTATTCAGTTTTGGAAACATAACATAGTTGTAGGGAAGGGATGAAATTAGCCTCATTTGCCATCAGTATTGATGCAGTGCCTTTCATAATGTCGGGTGAGATAGCTCATACATTCCCCGGGGTAAAAATGTGTCATCCCTTCAAGGCAGGTATAACATTGCAGTATGGTTTTGCAACCTTAGGAAGCATTCTTCTCCTGATCTTCATTTTACATCTAAAACTGTAGACTATGGAACAGACCTTATAAAAGACTTTTTCCCTGAGCATCTGGCCCTTCTGCAGGCCCGGGAGATTTATGTCAGATGTAGAAAGAATGTGAATAAAAAGCCTGCTCCTGGGAGTTTGTAAAATAAGTTGATGTATTACTTAATCCACTCTTGCTTGGATTAAATTTAAAAATTGCATTAGGGTGTTCATATTAAAGTATGATTTTATATAAATAGAAATTATAGATAACCAGTATAAAATTAAATTAACATAGGACTAAAGCCAACTTACTACAAAAACCAAAATAATAATTGCAAAATAACACTTATCTAATCAGCCCACATTGGCATCAAATATTATTTCAGATATATGTTTGCTCTAGAAAAAAATTATTGTTTTGCAACTATACATTATTTTGAAGGGCTGTTGATGGCAACTTTGTCTCTTATTTTGAAAATTTTCATTTATTCATTCATTCATTCATTCATTCATTCCCAACCTTGTTCCAAAAAAGGTTTGTCAGGTAATTTTGTGCAGTCATTCATTCTTAATACTGAGCATCAATTATTATCCTAAATAAAAAAGTATTCATTAGTCATGGTGCTGTTTATTTGATCAAAAATCATCATTTAAAAACATGACCTTAAGCTTCAGAACAGCAGGCGATGTGTGTCTGTATCCTCAGAGCCTCGGAGAATGTTTGGCATATGGCAGGCAGAA